TTCTGTAGGGCTCAGCCAGGGAAAGGTAGCAAATACATGACGTGTGTTTTCTGTGCATGGTCCATTCCAAAGAGTTGACAGAATTAGACTGGGGAGTTACAGCCTGCCACAGGCAGTTCGTAGTGAAGAAGAATTAGTAGTCAGCCTGTGAAGAGTTAACAGGTGATTTGAAGACTTTACATGTGCTGTGGTACAGTGATATTGGGAGTCTGTGATTGAGGCTTTTATATTTCATGTGTAAAATCCGTTGACAGGAAACTGACAGTGAAAACATTGTCAAGGCTTAGCCATGGTTGAGATCTCTTACCTAGCAACAAGTAATGCAAGCAGATATAAAAGACTTTATTTATGTGTTACAGTAATCCTTAGATTGTCATATATAATTAATTGTGGTTATGAACTGTAAGGGGTGAATAAATAGATCCGCCAATCCAAACCTGCATCTATAGTCACCCAGATACATTACAACATTATCATCCTATCTAAGATGACACGAACATACTGTCATCTGTTAGTGACTTGACATGGGGTATGGATTTGTAATTGGATTTACTGAACACTAATAACTTGTAACTACAATTAATTTTAACAGCTTCACGGAATTAAACACTTAACAAATCAGTATAGCACACACTGATCCTCAATATATTATAGTCTTCACTAGTCATTGCTTTGTCATCATCTTCACTCTATGTCGTTAGGTCGAGCTGCACTGGCCAGCTGCTTACTCAAAACTGACCTGCTTCGGTCAGTAGGCTAAATTGCTGTTGGCCCCGTGCCAGCACAATAATTCTTGGTTCCAAGTCCTGTCTGGACTCATGAACATATTTTTCTTTTCAAGACTACTTCATGTTTTGAAATGGGGCCTTCTTTTCAGCAAGAGAAGGGGTCTCACTAATACTGTTCACTCCCATTCTGCTGGTGGGGCGAGGGGGGGGGGCTTGAGGTGGCACTGACTGACCGTCTCCTCCACACACACACACCCTCTCATTCACTCACACAAGTCAGAGCCAAGTTACGATCGACAGTCAGTCCTCCAGTCAGTTTTGGTGTGATACCCCATTGGGATCCAAGACCAGATTTTTGTTACTGTAGGACAGTTGCAGTTTTGTCTATGTGGGGAGCTCTCTTGACTATATGACAGGTCTGTCATTTAACGCGGTACATGTCGCCTATATGTGCAGTTCTGTAGTCACATGTCAATGAGTCTGTTTCCTCGTGGATAGCAGCAGTTTACAATTTTACATGTATGGCCTCTGTCAGTCTAGGCTAAGCACAGCAGATCATGCTCTAACTCATGTAGCTCATGTTGCAATGGCTGACTAGTCGCTTGAATGGTCATACCCTTGACCTCTTCTAAGCTTGAGCCTCTTATCAGACTTCGTGTTTTCCAATGTCATGAAAATTTGCATTTTCATGACACTGTATGACGTCTGCTATTTGCCTGCACCACTTCATTATGCAGTCATAAATATACAATACTTAGAAAGCCATGTGCACCTCGTGGACCAGTATGCACCTTGGAAATTTACCAGTGGTGTGGAGAACCTTGTTTTGCAAGTGCTGAAATTTCAGTTGTTGGGCATCTGCCTCAAATTCTCAAGTGTGGCAAGCATTACTGATCTAATTAGTGTTTATGGAGGGTTAGTTTAATGTACAAGTATTTCTTAATCTCTCACTTTTGAATAGGGATTTATTATTATTATTATTATTATTATTATTAGGCTTAGGTGGTTGAAGTCAGTTGATAACAATTTAAAGTCACAACCCCAACATTTCTGGAAATACGTATCTAATTGCAGAAAGCATAGATCTGGTTCCATTCATCTAAAAGTCGATGGTACACACCTAGCCCAGCCCGAAGCTGTTGCTGATGCATTCGCTAAGCACTTTCAATCTGTTTACAATAACCACTGCTCTAAGGTCATTCACCCTCTCCTGCAATCTTCTGAATTTGTATCCCTTGCCCCCATTTCTGATGCTGATGTGTACAAAGCCATCAAGAGACTAAAACCATCAAAATCTGTTGGGCTTGATGGTATTCCTGGTTTTATCATCAAAGGTTGTGCATGTATTTTTATTCCTATACTTAGGCATATATTTAACTTGAGCCTGACGCAGCAGTATTTTCCTGCTGCATGGAAAGAATCTGCTGTTGTACCAGTATTTAAAAGAGGCAATCATGCCGCTGTGAGCAACTACAGGTCTATTTCTATTCTCAGTAATTTCTCTAAATTGTTTGAATTCATTATTCATGATCATGTTTCTCAATTCGCTAAATTTAATTCCAACCAACATGGCTTTACCAGAACTAAATCTGCAGTTACCAGTTTGGTGACGTTTCTCGACTTCTTGACGCCTGTTGTCCGCAGTCAGCATAAAGCTGATGCCGTCTATTTTGATCTTTCTAATGCTTTTGACCTCGTCCCTCATAATATGCTCTTGCATAAATTAAGCTCCTTTGGATTCTCTGATGCATATGTTAGCTGGTTTCGCAGTTACTTAGCCAACAGACGATCTCGGGTTCGCGTTTCTGGCACTCTGTCCCTGCCTTTTCATGTAACATCCGGGGTGCCACAAGGCTCTGTTCTGGGGCCTTTTCTTTTGTGTATTTATAAATGACCTATGCGACTCTGTTAACTACTGTAAATTTCTAATTTTTGCCGATGATCTAAAAATTCTCCGCATTATTAACTCTCCTCATGATTGCCTCTTACTTCAATCTGACATTAATTCCGTAAGTGACTGGTGCACTGCTAACTCCATGAAACTTAATATTGCTAAAACGCGTGTTGTATCATACACCAGAAAAACAAATTTTCTGAGCTACGAGTATCAGCTTTGTCATGCTATCATTACACGCACCAGCAGTGTTAAGGACCTGGGTGTTTTCTTTGATTCAAAGTTACATTTTCACACACATGTTAATTACATATTTTCTGAATGCTTAAAGCTTTTAGGCCTTATTCGCTCCATTGCCTACAGGTATTCCTCCCTGGAGAGTCTGCATGTACTATATTTTACTTTAGTCAAGTCCAAGTTGGAATATGCCTCAGGAGTTTGGAACTCCATCACCTCGACTGATGCCAATAAGCTTGAGCGCATCCAGCAGACGTTTGCGTACATCTGTTTTTATCGTTTTTTCCCTCATATTTCATGTAATTATACTGATGCTTTAGAGAAGTTAAGTCTACAATCTTTACATAAAGGGAGACATTACCTTGATGCACTTTTTCTTGTTCAGGTCTTTCGTGGTCTTACATCCTGCGCTTCTCTTTTGGAAAATGTTAGCCTTCGCGTTCCTCCCAGCAATCTTAGGGACTTCTCATTGTTTGGTGTTTGTCCCTCTAATAAACACTGTCCTCCTACTCGGTGCGCCTNTTTATTATTATTATTGTTATTATTGTTATTATTATTATTAATTAAAAACAATAATATTATACTTTTGTGTTATTATAATATATAAGGACCACACCATAGTTCAGGTAGTTAGTCGCTGGCTTCCCACTGCGGTGGCCCGGGTTTGAGGCCGTGTCTGGTTATGTGGGATTTGTGGTGGACAAAGTGGCCCTGAGGCAGGTTTTTCCCAAGTACTTCGGTTTTCCCTGCCAGTCTTCAGTCCACCACTTGCTCCGCAGTCACCATGATCTATCATCTGGGGCTGGTACAATAGGTCAGCAGTGGCCACAGTACCAAGTGGACTCATTCTCACCCTTCTAAGAAAAACTTATTAGCATATACATAACAAGCACCATATTCAACTCTGTCTACAATACGTAAATATCAAGTTCTTGGTTTTTTATTTTATTTTATAAAATTCGGTCAGTACTATGACACCACCACTTATATAAAGCAATGAATCTTACCTCAGAATTACTGAGCTCTTTTCTGAGCAGTCTGCTTTAAAACAAATAAATTTATCATATTGTCACACATATCCTGATAATGCAACAAGTAATTAGTGGGTTCTCTGGATTCATGGATCAATTTATTTAACGTCACTGTTACAATCACACGCAGTTCACACACCCAACTCCTTCCAGATAACAATGCCTCTCTTCGTAGCTGTGCTTTGCTCTCCAAAGCATGTTGATTCACTGCTGAGTCACTTCGCCTTTTTCTTCTGCCTTCTGTCGTATTCTGGTCTCTCCTGGTACTACAGTCACAGTCACACTCCAGATATCACTGCACCAGAGTGCATGGAAGGTATTCAAATCACATGTTAAATCTTCCACCGAGAACTCAGAACTCTGTCACTGTCACTGTCACTGTCACTGTCACTGTCACTGTCACTGTCACTGTCACTGTCACTGTCACTGTCACTGTCACTGTCACTGTCACTGTCACTGTCACTGTCACTGTCACTGTCACTGTCACTGTCACTGTCACTGTCACTGTCACTGTCACTGTCACTGTCACTGTCACTGTCACTGTCACTGTCACTGTCACTGTCACTGCTGGTTCCAATTCCCTCTGAACTTATGGCTCACAGCTCTCATTACATAGCCACAGCACAGAGAGCATAGGAAACACAATTCTATTCTTAATGACACAGATCACATGGAAAACACATTACATGATATCTATCTCATTAGTCCTTTGGTGCGCTATAGCGATGAGATTTAAACATTCATCCTGTTGTTGTAACATGCTCGACTGAAGGTTATCTACAGTAGAATCGCTCTGGCCATCCACGTTACAATACTTTTACTAATAAGACAACCTGCTTTTGGTTAAACGGTTCTGGATTGAGTTCATATTGTTACAAGTTGATAACCTCTGATATACCAAGCATTAAATTGAAATCACATGAATTTTCTGTAATTCAGAGCCAAACATTATGAGGGGTTTTCTAATAATTTTTCATTTCACCTAATACTTAATCACCATTCTCTTTTTCACTCACACATTACAAACAATTCCATTCATAGTTGAAAGAATTTCCTTAGTAATTGAAATGATAGTGTTAAATGAATCAGCCATTTGCTCTTCTCTTCCAGGTCTATACCCAGAAAGATCAAGATGATGCTTTGTCAAACCTGATGAGTGTGATTTGCCGACATATCAACGGCACAAAACCAGAAGAATGTAATGGTTAGAATAAAATGCATCAAACAGTACTTGGCTCTTGCTGTTGCTGTTAATAAAGAAAGGTTTTGTGAGGGACATAAATGCTTCAGCTTCATGGAAGGCTGATAAATTTCTGTGCCCCTCATTTTCTCTATTTCAATATACATTACTATTTTCAAGGAGAGTTTTACCTGAGATTCTCTTAAAGCAGCCATGTCAAACATGCGGCCCCCATAGCCACAAAGTGCGGCCCCTCAACTTTTAGAGCTAATTGATATTAAAATCAATATTAAAATTTTAGTAGAAATATTTTTTGTAAAGACAATTTCCCAACAGACCAGAAGACAAGAAGTCTCACGCAGATATAAATTAGCAGGCTGCAGGAAAAGTGATTCTGAGAATTGCAGAAGGGTTTGTCCAACTAACGGTTTGTAAAGTTCGTGAAGAACAAACTACTGTATTTCAAAAGGTTAATGCACTAAAATCCGCACAGCCTCACCGCCCCAAGTATTTCCAAGAATCCCTTTGGAGGCATACTAAGAATGCAAGGAGGGTGGCAACTGACAGACAAGTGCAAGGGATTTCTACCTTCAAAACTAGCTTGCCAACCCAAGCCATTGTCTAATGGGCTGCTAGCAAACTTTGTCATTCAGTTCATTTTCACACAGCGACAGGTGCTGATGTTAACTTGTGATGAACATGTATAAAGGTTATAATTAAACAGTAACATTGTCGCTTTCAAAATATTCAAGTAGCAAAAAAAAACAACTATTGAAAGTGAGCGCCGTGTTTTTCAAGAAAAATGGGAAATCGCTTATTTTTGTTGTGAAATAGAAGGTAGTTAGTTAGTTAATTATTGGAGAGGGTGGGTTTCCCCATGCACTTAGACCAGTATTGGTCCATTGTGCTTCCCTCTATGATATTCTACCAGTCTCTATACCCTACCGATACTGGTGCTTACCATCAGTCCTGACCAAGCCAGCGAGTTCGGCCTCTACTGGCTTAACGGTATCTATAATGCTTCCCCCATCTATCAGAGGCGTTAGAGACTACTGTTGGGCGGGAAATGTCCTTGAATTTGGCTCAGTGACCTCCTTAGGAGATATGAGGTTCTTTTACGTGCCGTAAAGCTATGACACGGGACCCACAGCTTAAAGTCTCTCCCGGAGGACTTATTCCCTGAATTTTTCCGCCCTTAAAAATTCCACCTCCGTCAGGTTTGAACCCGCGTACTACGAGTCATGAGGTGGGAACATTACCTCTAGACTACGGAGGCTGCTGAAATAGAAGGTAAAATTACATGTTTGATTTATTGACAAAATATAAGTGTTCCAAAAGAGTACAGTATAAGACGGCATTACGAAACCCATCGTGAAAAATACGACCAGTATAAAGAAAAGTCAAGGGTAGATAAATTATGGGATTTTAAGGCTGCACTCGTCAAGCAACAGTCTTTGTTAAGGAACGTGAAACGAGACAATGAAGCCGTTGTTAAAGCAAGCTACATAATTGCAGAACTTGTAGCAAAGAATTCTAAATGTTTTAGCGAGAGTGAGTTTATAAAAGGGTGTCTTGTAAAAACTACAGAAACTGTATGTCCCGATAAGGTTCAAATTTTCAAAAACATTTCCTTGTCACGAAACACTGTTGCCGAAAGAGTTGATGATAATGTGACTAATTTAAGTGAACAGTTGTTTGCAAAAGTTAAAAGTTTCACGGCATTTTCTATTGCAGTTGATGAAAGTGCAGATGTTAGTGGTGTGGAACAATTAGCTGTGTTTATCCGGGCCTGTGATACTGACTTAATTATAACTGAGGAGTTACTAGACATAATTTCTCTTAAAAACACAACTGGTGAGGATATCTTTAACAAAGTGTATGGGCTCTTAGAAAAGTACAATCTTCCGTTATCAAAACTTGTGTGTGAAGCAACGGATGGGGCTCCTTCTATGACGGGGAAACAGAATAGATTTGTTGCTAAGTAGCAGAACCAAGTCTGTCCTAGTTGTAAGTTTCACCATATTCACTGCATCATTCACCAAGAAGTTCTGTCCTCAAAATTCATAAAAATGAATCATGTGTTGCAATTTGTGAAGAAGGTAGTAAATTTTATTCAATCTCAAGGACTGAATCAATGTCAGTTTTCTTCTTTACTTAGTGACATTGGATGTGAATTTGAGAGTCTACCGTACTATGCAGAAGTTTGCTGGCTTTCGTGTTATAGTGTTTTAAAGCACTTCTGGCTTCTTCGAGAAGAAATTAAGATTTTTTTGGAAATGAAAGGCGAATCACCCGACAAACTGTATGACGATAATTGGGTTCAGGATTTGGCCATTATGGTGAACATTACCTGGCATTTAAATGACTTATGATGATAATTGGGTTCAGGATTTGGCCATTATGGTGAACATTACCTGGCATTTAAATGACTTATGATGATAATTGGGTTCAGGATTTGGCCATTATGGTGAACATTACCTGGCATTTAAATGACTTAAATTTAAAGCTACAAGGG